CCAAAGCTGTTATTAGGGCTTAATAAGGGCTGTATTAAGCCCTAACAACAGCTTTGGAGGGCTCCAGAGGCTCTGTAAGGGCTTAATAAGGGCGTTTTTAAGGCTTTGTCATATGCAGAAGCAGTAGCAGTAGCAGGAGCAGTAGTAGCAGTCATAATTTGGCATTGTACTGTTGCAACAGCAGCTGTAGCTTGGGTTTTCGGCTCAAGCACGATGCTGAACCTCCCAAAGCTAAAGCAGCTAAAGGAGGACAGCATGTGCTGTGCAACAGCCACCGCCTTGCCATTCTCGGGTATTGTCCCAGCGTCCTGGCCGTCCATTCGGGGAAGTCTTGGGGGTCCACAGCCGCAAATCAAGTCCTGGCATAAGGCGAAACGTAGATCTGCGCCCTTAGCTAGCGAGACCCAAACCATGGGACGGAGGACGGCGACGCCGGACTTAGTTTCGAGTAGGGAGCACACAGAGCGAGAGGTGAGGACCGTCTGAGCACAAAGACGCTGCTGATCTCCGACACACTCGGCCGGCCCGTGCATGCACTGAACAGCAGGCTGCTGGCCCTTTTCCTGTCGGTGTGCGCTCATGTGCGCTCTGCCGTGCACTCTGAATGGTCAACCCAGGAGGGTAGCTATGCCTGCGTTCTGCTCGAGTCTGCGATGTAGGTGAAATTCACGGTGACCAGCTGGGCTAAGTCTTCCAGAACCTGGGAGAACCAGAAAGACTCTCATGCCCGCAAAGCTTAGGATGCTTGCTTTCTCTCCCAGCGTCTTTCGGTCGTCGGAGTGCGCGGAAGCCTTGGGCCGCCACCGGAAGAAAGGTCTGCTCGCAGAACTTGGCATCAGGACCTCTGTGCACAGGCCTTGAAGGGACTTAACTGCGCCTGAAAAGCCTAACTCGGAAACTCTGCGACGCGGACATTTTGACATCACGAAGAACTCGATTGCAATGGCATGCTTCGGGCTCGTCTCGGATAGCAAACCTCACATTGGCACATGTTCCGGGCTAACAGGGCCAAGACCGTGCGGCGACCGTAAGGCTGTAAGGAGACAGCTCTGCCGTTCTTTCACCTGAGACTCGCAGAGACCGCAATGATGGCACAAAAGTGGCCGCTGCTCACGAGAACCGACGACACAACCGCTTGTGCTCCAAAGCATTGGGTAACCGTCTGCATCACACTCGATACGACGCAAAGCAAAGGGCGTTTGATGCCAGCACTGCAGGTGCTGTGCATGCCAAGGAGACACAAAGCTTCGGGGCTCAGTTTTGTCTTCAGGATGTGCCATGTGCCGTAAAGGGTGGACCTCTGAAGTCGCCACATATGACATATGACATATGATTCAACAACGTAAGCAAAAAGGATTCAACAACAACAACGACAAGGAACAAGGAACAAACAAAAACTGCAGCCCCGTCAACCCACATATATCTGCATTTTGTCTGTACATTAGGTAGAGCCCAAAACAAGGACCCCCTCATGTTGTTTTGCCCCCCCCCAACATTGCATGGATTTTGTGTGTATTTGCATGAATTTTGTGTATATGTGCATGGATTTTGTGTGTCTAGTTGCATGGATTTTGTGTGTAGTTGCATGGACTTTGTTTCTATTTGCATGTTTTTATGTGTATTTGCATGGATTTTGTGTTTATTTGCATGGATTTTTGTGTTTATTTGCATGGGTTTTGTGCTTATTTGCATCGATTTTGTGTCTATTTGCATGGATTTTTGTGTATATTTGGATTCTGTGTGTTGTTGCATGGATCTTGTGTATATTTGCATGGATTTTGTGTATATTTATTTGCACAGATTTTGCGTATATTTGCATGTGTTTATTTGCATGGGTTTTGTGTTTATTTGAATGGATTTTGTGTTTATTTGCATGAATTTTTGTGTATATTTGTATTCTGTGTGTTGTTGCATGGATCTTGTGTATATTTGCATGGATTTTGTGTATATTTATTTGCACAGATTTTGCGTATATTTGCATGGATTTTGTGTTTATTTGCATGGGGTTTTGTGCTTATTTGCATCGATTTTGTCTTTATTTGCATGGATTGTATATTTGGATTCTGTGTGTTGTTGCATGGATCTTGTGTATATTTGCATGGATTTTGTGTATATTTATTTGCACAGATTTTGCGTATATTTGCATGGATTTTGTGTTTACTTGCATGGGTTTTGTGTTTATTTGCATGGATTTGTGTACATTTGCATGGGTTTTGTGTGTATATTTGCATGGAGTTTGTTTATATTTGCATGGAATTTGTTTATATTTGCATGGATTTTATGTGCATTTGCATGGATTTATTTTGTGTATATGTGCATGGATTTTGTGCATATTTGCATGGTTTTTCTGTATATTTGCATGGATTTTGTGTATAGTTGCATGGATTTTGTGTATTTTTGTGTATAAGGCTCTCTTACGTTCAAGGTTTAGGGTTTACGGTTTACCCATAAGCTCCATAGTAGTTCCTGTTTGGGATTACCTACCTTCGGGCATATGGGTAGGGCGTAGGGTTTCAATTGAAGCTTCGGCTAGGTCTTGATCCGGCACGCCCACAGACGATGTCAAATAATTAGAAGCCTCGCTCCAAACCCCGCAACCTCAAACCCTAGGCCCTGACCTGACGGTTTAGGGTTTCGGGTTTAGGGGTGCAGGGTTTCGGTCTCCAAACGTGCAGATCGGCGACTATTCCGTTTCCCAAAGAAACGATTCGCGCATCGTCAGAACCGGAAACAAGCGGATGGGCGAATTCTCAGAGCCGCAAAGAAGCGGATTGGAGAAAACCAAAGCCGGAAACTAGCGGAAAAATCAAAGCCGGGAACCATTGGATCGGCGAATTCTTAGAACGTGAAAAAGCGGAGTCGCGAAAAATCACAGCTAAATGCTGGGCCCTAAAGACCCTACGTGCCCGCCTTCCCCGAATACTTGGGGAGCTAGGCACCCTAAACACCCCCTAGAATTTGGGGACCTCGGCGAAACCCTATATGCCTGGCTTCCCCGTTAAAGGGGCCTAGGCAGGTATGTCCTAAACGCCCGAAACGAAACCACCCCCACAGAAAACCGCAACCCCCAAGACCCAGCCTGGGTGGTGTTCGTCTGGGTAGATGCATTTTGCACGCTTGCCCATCCTTTTTGGTTACCTTTGCCGCCTTGCATGCCCTTTCCCCCCGCATCGCCTTTTCGTGCCCAGCCTTGTTGCTTGCCCTTGCCCGCCCCGCCACCGCCGGCATTGACAAGCAGCAGGAAGAGAGACAGCAAAAGAACGCGGAGCATGGACATGATGGTCCTTCGGACTTGCACTTTTCTGCTAACTGCTAGTGAGCCGTGAACTCAAGTGGGAGTGCTTTCCAGCTGTCACAGCGATCAGGGCACATACACACACACACACATACACTCTCCAACGCATCTCACGATCCGTGCTGCCATATCAGCTTTCGATGAGGAAGAGCTTGGAGCCGACTTTGACGAAGTATCTGCCTGCGGGTAAAAGCATGTCGCTTTGAAGCTACAATCCCCACAGCACAGCAAGTACCAAGGCCATGTGTTACAAGCGCTGTGGTGAGAGCGAGTCTTGCAAAAACCTAGAAGCACACAACCCCACCACAAGGCAATTCAGGTCTTTCGCTACAGACTGCAGCGGCGAGTCCAAAGTCTAGAGGACGCGTTGGTGCTCAGAAAGCCATGGGTCGGTTTCGCAGGTCGTCCTCGGCAACGAAGCTGCTTGCCAGCATGCCTTGGCTCGCCATCACGGCTTCTACGCAAGTGGGACAGAATGGGACAAATGGCTTGAACACTCGTCGGCGTGCGGTCGGCAGGATGGAGAAACATGCGAAGCCCGCTTCCGCACACAGCCAAGCTGTTCTTACTAAGAGATACCATCACTCCGTCCTGCAAGAGCACCATAAATAGAAATGTCCATTTCATAGCACCCTTCACCACCGCTACAAGTATCAAAGCTGAGCACCTCGCTGGCAAGGATTGTCCCTCTTGCAAGATTTTGAAATGTCACGCGACGCAGCATCCGGTGATGCACGTCGTGTGGTGTTGGCACTTGCATGGGTCCTGGAAGGAACGATCGCCCGAACCTTTTGGCACTGACATGCGCTGACATTCCCTGACGCAGCAAGATTTTCCGCAGGGTGCGCGAACGTTCACTGCACCACCGTCGAAGACGGCCAATGTGCTGTCACCGCGAAGTAAACTGGCACTGCAAATTAAAGCATCGGCGCAGTCTTCATTGCCCAGCTGGCTCCGGGAAGAATAGCCCTGCCGAAAGTTTGTGGGGTCCACCTGAGCCCTGGACAAAGTCTCGAGGCCCGTCGGAGGTGATTGCGCGGACCCGACATATGCATCCAGTATGGTCATCTACCATTGTGGTGTTTGAAAGGGTGTTGGGGTTTCGAGGGTTGACTTGGGTCTGCCCGGGTTCTGGAAACTCACCGGACAGGCTAAGTAGGACGTCTCTGCAAGACTAAGGGGACCTAGGCAATCTTTTGAGGCGCACGCGCACTTGTCTCACGCCTTTTTCAGTTGGATTTGGTATCCTCAAGAGAGGATAGCCGTCCCAGGACCTCGATGGCACCCCACAGCAAGAGAAGTCCCTGTCTGTTGGGTGCACATCGGGGCCAGCATTGTGAGGATGCTGTCGAGCTGAAGGCCGTAAGGTTGCATCCATCCTCTCCTGCGTCTGACTTGAACCCCGGCACTGGCAGCTAAACAACGGTGCTGCGCAAAAAATTCTCGACAGTGTCGGAGGCACTCGATCTCACTGCCTATGTCGCAGCCAACGGCAGCCCACCTTGTTTGCGTACAAAAACAGTGTGGCATAGTCGGCTCGCCATGCGCTTGTTTCCACTGCCCTCCACCACGCCGAAAGGTGGAAATCCTACCGCTTAAGTCCAGCTCGTCCAGAGAACTTGCTGTCCAAGGAAGGCTGGGAAGTGGGACCCGGCAATCCACAGAAACACGATGCTCCGAAGCACTTGCAGAAGGCTCAAGAAGAAAGACGTCCCTCACGTTTCGCAAAGGAGGCCGTGGCAAACATTTAGAGTTGCGCCCGAAGCCTGGCTAGCACAGCATCTTATCGGTGAGCCGTAGCGGCTGCAATAACAACAACATTTCCACCAACAACAACAACAACGACAACAACAAAACCAACAACACCACACCAACAACCGGTACAACAACAAGACCACCAACACCACCGACACCAACAACACCACCGCCACCACCAGCAATTTTTGCAATTGAACGCTGCGCNNGCGTGCTCTGCGCTTGGCGGGCGTATCGCCAGACCTGCACTGATGTGAAACGGAGTAAGCTGACACAGCATTGCTCTCGAAATTACCAGAATAGCACGGCGATAGCAGAAAAGCCGAGAGCTACACCACCACCAGCAACAACAACAACCACGACGACCGACGACAACGACAAATAACGGCAACGACGACGACAACAACAACAACGAAGAAACAAAAACAGGGACCCCGCCAACCCATATGTCTGCATTTTGTCTGTGCATTAGGTAAAGCCAAAAACAAGGACCCCGTCATGTTGTTTACCACCAACAACCACAACCACAACTGCCACAACCACCACAACAACCACAACACAGTGCGTAGGGTGTGTGGAGTTTGGATGATTTGCAGTCTTGCGTGGATTTTGTGTATATTTGCATGGATTTTGTGCGTATTTGGATTTTGTGTGTTGTTGCATGGATTTTTTGGTATATTTGCAGGGATTTTGCGTACATTTGCATGGATTTTGTGTATATTTGCTAGATTTCGCGTATATTTGCATGGATTTTGTGTACCAGTATTATATTTGCTACACGGATGCTCTGCGGGAACGGACGGACTTTGTGGGGACGTTATCATGCTTGGGGGTCGGAGGGGGGAAACAACCTAACCTAGCACTAACCTAAACCCTAAGCCCAGCTTCCCTTCATTAGGGGACCTCAAAGAAAACGAAATATTCCTAAAAGCTGGGCCCTGAACCCTACGTGCCCGCCGTCTCCTGTTCTGGAGTGCAGGCATGAAACTCTCATGGGGTGAACTGCTCCTATCTGCACAACAACCAACCACCACCACAATCACGGCCACAACAACCACCACCAGCGCCGCCACCACCACAACCACAACCACGACCACAACCACAACCACGACGACCAAGACCAAGACCAAGACCATGACGAAGACAAGGTCAGCATGGCAGTAGTAGCGACGACAGCGACGGCCATATCCGAAAACCCCGACGACGACCACAGAAACCCCAGCCACAACAGAGTCAGCAGGGGAGGCCCTCCTCGTCCTCCTCCTCCTGCTGCGACGGCTCTGACTAGCCATGTGCGAAGGTTGCCACATACTTCCGTGAGATGGTGTGCTATGGCTGATGAACTCACTCGCAAGCTTCTTGTGCTTGTGTCGATGGGTTGGTGCAGCCAGGGTTTGCGCAGCCCGTTTTTGCCAGATTGGGCGCAGGCAGTCGATGAATTCTAGCGGATAGTGGGCATCAAAACTTACCTAAACTTCAGCATACTTAGCACACAGGCAAACAGGCGTTTTGCCATAAATCCAACAAGAAGGTGCTCTAACCGTCCTCTGGCTTGAGCGCCGAGCAGAGTGGCCACTGATCGGCGAAGGCACAATGCCACGGCTACGGAGTGGAGCGCCTCGCTACGAGTACCGCGGGGACGCTCTGAGCGACGCTCCGGCCTTGTCTGGGCCTTCAGAGACGCGGAAGAAGAGCAGGAAGACGGGCCAGACCTGGAGAATACGGTCAGCACGCGAAGGCAGCAGGTCGATGTCGTGCAACAAAAGCTGGAAAAACCCTTCCACCTTCATCTTCCCTGCAGCAAGCTGCCCAAGGCATGCAGGAGCGAGGAATGCATCAAATGAGGTTCGGAAACATGTCAGGTAAGAGCAAATAGAGCAAATGCAACCTGGCCATGAACTGCATCGTTGGTGCATCTGTTAGTGCCCAAAGGGGCTGCAGCAGTCGGCTATCAGAGTAATTTGCCCTTGCTCATCTCTGCTCCATGGATCCCCACCAGGCTGTTTGCGAGTAGTTTCGCAAACCAGTGGGGTCCACCTGCCAAAGAAAGGATCGCACTCCCATTTTGGGGCCGATGGCACCACCGCATACAATACCAACTGATATGCTTCCAGCCCTTCTGACAAGTTCGATTCGGCAGAAATCTCTTGAGTCTGAAGGCACCTGTCAGCGACGCAGTTGCGGTTCAGGGGCGCAAGGCTGTTGCAATCATGTTGAACATCGCTTCACGTCTTTGCTTTCATCTCCACAAGAGGCGAGGAGAGGCGAAGGGAGGCGCGGGGAGGCGAGGCCGGACCCCAAGCCGCTTGAAACTGTGCAGAGGTGCAGAGGTGGAGAGGAGGCTGGGAGGCTGGGCGGAGGAGTCCCATCCTTGGCGGCACCCTTCTGTCGCCTTGAGGGCAAGAGAGGCTGCGGGTTCGGACAAAGAAATGGGCTGCCACTGTTACGAGGGGAGGGGGGCCCAAACGCGGATTTTGCCATCCAGGATCTTCTGATAGGGTTTATGGGCTTTTCCCACCCACTGTCTTCTTTAGTAGTTTCTTTCGGAGTGGCGGCGATGTTCTTCTTCCTTCCTTGCAACCCGCTCCCGACTCTGACAACCATCTCTGACGCTTTGTGAAGGAGACGATTTGTGCAGAAGACGACGCAGGGAGCGGAGCACCTTCCCGGTTGGCCGCACCCAGCACGGATGCCAAGTCTTGGTCCTCATCTGCCGGGCCTCTCAAGCAAAGGCTGCACAGCTTTTGGGGACTTTCTGGAGGGGCGCCTCCTGCAGGAAGGCTCGGAAGAAGCCGTCAACTTGTGCCTACGCTGCAGTTCTCTCTCTCGCTCTCTGTCTCTCTGTCTTCTTCCACACAGGCAAGAGTACGGCAGGCACCGCACGCTCTCTCTCTCTCTCTCTCTGTCTCTCCTTCCTGTCATTCTCTTCAAGTGTGCCAGCGTCTGCATCAGGAACACTTTGTGGACTGCACAAGCAAGTCCTTTCCCAAGTATCGGGCCCAGTCTCCCGTGCTCTGTTGCTGCTACCTCGTATTGAACATGTCTCCTGTACATTCGTTCTGGCACGCGGGATTGCCGATACACGCGGGCAAGTGCTTGTATCCCAAACCCGGGAAAGAGATACATGTATCCAAAACCAGCGATTCGGATACATTTCGTTCCGAAGCCTCGCAGGAGAAAGAAATCCATGTGAATCCGCTGCTCAGGGCACTTCTAAGGTGTCTTGGGGTATTACCGTGACGCTTCGATTTGCTCAGATGCACTGCAAAGAGTACGCGATTGTCTTGCAGGCCTTCAAAACGAATCTGGTTGTTTCGAAAAACCCTGTGCTCGAGCACAAGTTTCAAGTTTAAGCAAGTGCAGTGTGTTTTCCTTTGCAGTTCACCGCTGATGACACAATCTATGGCGTTGCTGCATGCTCTCCGGAAAGAATGGTGTTGCGCGCTGGTGTCTATCCAAAGAAGGCCGTGCTCGCACAACTAGGCACAGCGGAACCGGACAGTTTCCAACCATGCCACTTGGAAGGAAGAACGGCAAAACACTAAGCATGTGCAGATGGTCTTGATTAGTCTGGCTGGGCAAATCCCACCCAGGCTCCCGGTACCTGTTGATCTTTCCGAGAGTTATAAGCACAGACGGAGGACATGTCGAGTGGCGCGTTACCGCACACTGGGAGTCTTGCTGGTCGGCGTGGTGCACAAACACCCCTCGCAGTATACGGAGGCCTTTTCTGCCGTCTCAGAGCGCCGAGCTGAGCACGGGGCCCCCGGCCACGGCATCTTTGGCTAGGGCCGGGGAGTCCGCGACGTAGGCCGCGGCGACCTCCGGATGCCGTTTCAAGAGCCAGGTCCTCACGCAGTGGGTCATGCAGACAGGATGAAGCGCTCGGGATGACTCCGAACGCTGAGGCTCCGGCACGAGCATCTCTCGCGGCTTCTCAGGAAAGCGAGCGGCCAAATGGCGCAGCCACAGCTCTTTGCGATCCTTGCGATCTTGAAGGAGCTCAGGAAGACCTCTGACGAAACAAGGCTTTCATGCAGTTTCAGCATACGTCATGCCTCGTAAACAATGCTTTTTGAATGCAAGCTGCGGCCATCTTTGAAGATTGCACCCTGCTGCAACGGATCCAAATGCCGTGCTGCCGCGCAGAAAAGCTTGAAGTATCCCAGAGCTTTGCCATCATCAGCGCTCCTTTGACGAGGAGGCAACGGGCGAAGCGGACAGTCACCGTTGAGCTTTTTGGGAAATCTAGCTTCCTCGTTGTGGTTCGGATTTTGGCGTTCAGAAGTCGAGACAAAACTTGGAGCTTCATCTGCCGAGACGGAGATGCGAGTAAGCAGCATGCTCAAAAGACTGTCAAAAAGCCCAAGCCCCCATGATGATCTCTTCCACGAACGTGCTCCAAAGTGAAAAGAACAGTCACGGACGAACCACCGTGCAACCAGCATACTCTGAGCGAGAAATATAGATCATATGTCAAGCAGTCAAAGTGGCCTCTGTGACTATCACTTGCTCTCACTTGCAAGAGCTGCGACCACAGCACACCACCGGCTGCGATGCACCGAGGCGCGAAAGGGTGCGCTGGGCCAGTGCTTTCAACGTGCGGCGCTGCAGATCCAAAGCACGAGTCCCGCCGGCCTTTTGCACAAAGACGCATACACAGTGTCTCAGCTTAGCCGACTCTAGCGGACTTTAGTCATGGTCTGCGCCCCTTCTCTCGCCTGCGGGGCCGTCTCCAGGAGGCCACGCAAGGCCTCGAAAATCTCTTCGTCTGCCGCTGCGACCTCCTCGAAGCCCTGAAGGCCAGCTTCCAGCATCGACTCCCAGAACTCAATGCACTCTGTCTCCAGCATTTCCGGCCCTGACGGCCCTCCGCGCAAAGCCAGAATGGTCAAGGTCAAGGCCCTCGCGGCCAGGCGAGGGAAGGTGTGGCCCGATCTCGCGATGCGCTTAAGTGTTCGGAGGACGACGGAATCACGCAGCATCTCTTCGAGGAGTTTCTCTTCTGAAAGCATTCCCAGCCAGAAGTGGAGCCGAGAGCTCGCTGCCAAGGAGGTGCCCACTGCCACGGCAGCATCCAGCTCGCATAGCGTGCTCAACATGGCCTCAGCTTCGAGGAGCAAGGCGCAGCAAGGCTTCACGAAGGATTCTGGCTGCGCCTTGCGGAAGTCGCCATCGCGAGAGCCGGACTTGACGATGCTCAAGCAAACAGCGCGGTACTCCTCTGCGTGTTCAATCCGCACATCTAAGGAAGCAGAAGGGTTCCGTCTCCTTTCCTGACTGTCTTCCCGGAAGATGTCGACACAGCTCACTGCTCGAAGCAATCTCACCAGCACAGACGGTGCGAGCTGCTGCAAGTCCGCCTCAGGCGAAAGCGAGAATGCTAAGAATGCGAACTGCGCGCGAAATGGCTTCGCCCCTTCGTCGACCTCTCGAGCTATGGTCGCCACTGCGAAGAAAGCAGAGAAAGTGAACCATCGCCTGCATCCCGCCCCCGGTAAGGCTTGCCGTGCATCGCGAGCACTACTGCAAGCCTTGCTGGTTGTGAAGATCCAGCTTCTGGATGACAGCTCACAGCCAGTGCCCACTGCTCCAACGGGTCCATCAACCTGTTCAGAGATTTCCACTGCATGTCAACCTGAGATATGTGTTGCCGGATGGGCCTGGCCTGGCCAATTGAGAATCCTCCGACAGTGCAGCAGCACACTTCCCAATGGCCACGCAGAACCGAGGCACCAGCACCTGCCCCGATCCACTCGGTCAATTACAGAATACAGCTTCACGACTGACTGTCTCTCAGTGCCAACAAACGCTCCCCAGCAGCAAACGAGATCACGAGGGTGTGTACAATCAGAAACCTCTGTCAGCACAGGAAATTCCGTGCCGGCTATGTTCGCAAGGAGCGGTGCTTTTAGCAGTCTGGCTCCGTTGGTTCAGCTTTGAAGGTCGCATGTTGGAGTCAAGTGAGTGCAGGTGCAGCAGGCGCAATACTGGTGCGACCCCAGACACCTGTCAGGACACGTCTGTGTCTCATAGCAATGCGGGCGGACGAGTCGGAGCAGCATTGTCCATGTTCCGAAGACCATAGCGGAGACACAATTCTTCAGACATATCCCTGAGACGAAACTGAGACGCATGCGGCCCACTACACTGCAAAGCAGCGGCTGCCTTGTCGAAGTTTGAGGCGGTTGAAATCTTTTCAAGATCCATTTGTCCTAGCTTTTCATGGGTTCCGTCTCTTAATTTCATCCTCTTCGGGATCCTGCCGAGACTGACTGCCTGCCCATGGTGCCCTAGTTGACTTGAGTAGTGGCAATGCGATGCGATAGCAATTTCCTGGTTGCACAGTCCGAAACTGGGCTTATGCTACAACCGGAACACTACGATGCTTGTGGAAGTAGCAGGAACAAGTAGTCAGCTCCTCGCAGACCCCTGCACCCCACCCACCCCCCCGGCCAAAGAACAATGGAAACAACAAAATCTCCACCATCATTCCCCAGACTCGCGTCGGAGAAGACCAGCCAGACCTCGCGCAGGTTCATCGGCTGGATCGTCAAGCACACCTGCTGGCCGGCGTGTGTTGACCAGTTCCTGGATGATCTTTGTTGCAGTGCATTCTCGAATGTAGATCCTTCCTGTGTCCAGGTCATCGAAATTTGGAGATGCTGATCTCGAAGTTCTTCAGCTGAAACACACCGCGCTACAGGTACCCAACTAATTCCAAGTGCTCGCCTGAGCTCGCGTAGATGTCCCGCCATTCGCGAAACCTGAACCACATCCTGAACTTCCCCATCAATGTGGCATGCCGGTTGTCGCGACGGAGCGAATACAGGCGGCACTTCTGCCCCCTGTGATTCTCTACTTGTGGGACCGTCATGATCATTTGTAGGTGCTCCAGGCATCTTCAAGCGTTCCTTATTCCTTTCCCAATCGCCTGGCGAACTCGAGGCTGTCCCGATGTCGAATTCCTGGCCGTCCTCGTCCACCGCCGTTGGGTGGAGGTTCTGAGTTTTGGGTTCTGGTTGGCTTGCTCGCTAAAATCGTTGGGCCTGCGACGCCTTTGCGGCGGACGCCGCCCACATTAGCGAAAGCAATGCAGAGGTCGAGCTCTTTCACGTGTACTGGTAGCAAAAAGGTGCCTTCGGTGAGTGCGAATGTCTTCTGCCCAAGCGTCGGAGAAAAACACACACTCAAGGTTCGAGAATGCACAACAAAGACGAGCGCAGCTTTAAGGGCACAAACGAAGCAATGAAACAGGTTCAAGCCGAAAGAGACTTGCGTGTGGGAGTTTGCTTTCGTCGGGCCTGGCGGAGGGAGGAGCGGCGCTCGCTCTCCAGCTCGTTGACCGGTAAATCTAAGAGCCCTTCTGGCAGAAGCTCTAGGCAGAGAGTCTCACAGAGGCCAGACACGATCTTGATGTGCATCTGCGCAGGACCTCATAACATGAACGAACAGAAAGTCGGCACGAAGTTGCATATGTGGCAAGAGCGCAAGGCTGCTTTCTGCTTCCAAGGCTCAGCAGTCCAGCGCCGCTGTGAAGATGCACTGTGCCAGGAATCCTGCTTCCCGCGCGCGTACCAGGAGGCCGCTGATGGCCTCTGCGCCGGCGGCGCCGCCAGCCCCCGTCGTGTTCAACATGAAAGCGGCCAGACCTGCCGGTCACGGCTCCCGGAAAAGATGCGGGGCCTCTCCCTCACTCGCAGTTGGCCATGTCGCCAAGGGGCAATGTTCAGGCGAGAGCTTCGGCCGCGCACAGGTCCCAAGAGCAGGCCCGTGCCACGCCCAAGTCTTCGCGTCTGGTGGCCAAGCCTTGACAAGGTGCACTCAACATCACGCAACGCTTCTTTGGACAAGGTCCTTATAAGGAGTCCAAGGCTTCGGAGGACCGAGCCTGCTGGAAGCGCAGCATGCGCTCAAGAATGGAAAGCTCCGAGACGGCAGCACCATAAAGACTCTGACCCTCCAGCAAGGACTTGGCCAGCAGACTTGCCATCGGCTCGGACAGCAGCGGCCAAACCTAGTAGGCAGCGAGGGGATTTCCAGCACCAAGTTCATATGCGCTTTAGTTTGGGGCTCCGCGCTTGCAGGAGGCTCTGCAGGTGCTGCTGGAAGTATGTGGAGGTCCAAAGGTCGGCGACCGAGCACCTTGCGACCAGCTCTGCCCACAGGCGTCGGTGCTCCAGAGGAAGCTCCGAGACCTCCCAAGGAGGCCCGAATCTGAGTCTCGAAAACACCGGTCGCGTCCATTCCGTCCATTCCAGCCCGCCTGGGACATGAGGTCTCCCAGGAAGAGCACGTAGCGGTTGTTGTCCATCGCTTGCTTTGCCAGAGGGCTTCCGAGATACCATGCGCCAGACATGAGCCTCAATAGCACTCACAAGAAGACAAAATGTGGAGGACTGGTGGCTCTGGACCCTCTGGGCCAAGCACCCGCCCCAAAGCTGCAGGTGATCAAGGACGGTCGTGCTGAAGAGGTTCTTTTCTGGCTCATCGTGCGCCAACTTCGCCACCCTGCTAGCCATGTCTTTACGTGACGTCATCCATCGATCAATCTATCTATCCATATATCTATCCGTCTGCACCTATGTATGTATCTATGCCATGCATGTGTGTATGTATGTATGTATGCATGTATGTACGTATGTATGGGTACAGTGTACAATAATGTACATATGTATATGTGTGTATATATAAGCTCGCCCCCCCTCCCCCATGATCTACCATC